GATGTGGGGCAGCTGGGCTGAGAAACACAGGGGAACACTGAAAACACTAGAAAACTAAGGAAAATAAACACAGATTATGACCAACAGCTGAGTATCCAACTCTGAAGAAGCTCATCATTCATACAGGAAGTGATGAAGTGATGAACCGACAGTCAGAAATCATGAAGAAGGATTTTATTCAGTTGCTGAATGCTGTTAATAATTTAAACATGGATGTGTTCATCAGTGGACCTGTTCCTACAGTCAGAGGAGGAGCTGAGAGGTTCAGCCGACTGTTAGCTCTTAATGGTTTTTTTGGAAAAGCTCTGTGTTGACCACTCTGTGAGATATGTGGACAACTTTGATCTATTTTGGGAAAGAAAACATCTTTTTGGGTCTGATGGAATGACTCTGAATCAAGCTGGAGCACAGCTTCTGGTTTCCAACATGAAGTATTTCCTGAACAGAGTTCTGGCTACAGGTAAACCACAACAGCTGACGTCTGAAGGACAGCTGGAGAAAACTGAGATATCAGAGGAACACAGCGTGCCAGTTACTGATAAGGAGACTGCTTCAGAATCAGAACCAGAAAGAGAGGAGTTACTTCAAGCTGCAGAACCGGAAGAACAACTGGATCCATCAGCATCAGAAACAGAGGATCTCTTGGACTCTGAGACCCCAACAGGACAGCAAGTGGAATGTCCTCTCCTGGATTTTACTAGCAACATGAAAGAACCTGATGAGATTAAGATCAAACTAATACCACACCCAGATCCAGCTAACTCTCATCTTCCAGCCCCTCGCACTAAACCGAGATCTACGAAGAGTCGCAGAGCACCACCACCACCTCTTCCACACAATAAAACAGACAATCCTGTTTGTGTTCAAGATGATCCAAAGACGTTTGTGTGATAACTAAGTTTTGGGGTTAGTAATTACTGTGTGAGGATTAAAAACTGAATTACTGGGGTAGGTTAGCAGGTGCTGTTCTTTGTCAATCAACAAGTACTGCTATGGCTTGGTTGGTAAGTAGAGTAGGTTCATTTGGAGTGATGGTAGTAAAGGAGTTTGTGGATAAAATAGTAAAATTGATTTTGCAGAAGTTGAACGTAAAACAGAGGTTGGCTCTATTAGTGAGGGATTGTTGTTGTACAGTTATGCTGACGTGTGCGAAAGCCTTGATTTTGAAGTGGGTTGGTGTTGTGATGCTGGGAGGTCGAGTTCAGATGAGGAGGAGGAGTTTTGAAGTACATCAGGAAATTCTGGAGATGTACCCTTATTAAGATGTTTGTTTTGAGGATAATTTGAGGGCTCTGTTTGTCAGGATGAGTGATTTTTATTTGATATGAAGTTTTCTCATGTTATTTTTTAGTTTATGGAGGTTAGAAATAATGTCTTTTGTTTGGATTTTCATTTGTAGGTAAGTGACTTGGGCTCTAGATAGAGTGATTTTTGTTTGTTATTTTTGGTAGTTCAGCTCATTCTGAAGGTAATACATCCCTCTTGAAGTTTTTCCTACATATAATCTGTTTTTGTTATTTTTTGACATTTACTCTATTTTTTGACATATGTCTGTGTTGATTTTTGGTAAAGAAAAGACATATTTACTCTTTTTTGTGGATTTTATTTTGTTTTGTTTTTATTTTTGTTTTGTCATGATTCCACCATTTTGGATTTTTGTGTCTTCATATTTACATTATGTAGAGGTTTTGGTACAAAGGGGGTGGACAAGAGTTAAAAATTCACAAACTCAGAGATAAGCTTCAGTGATTAAGCTTGTGGTTATGATTTCATGACACATGTCATTGATTTTTGTTTTAATTTCCATTTGATTGTGACATTTATTTTGCACGAGAGACTGCCGTATGTTTTCTGTCATTCCAGGTGATGACAGCCGCGTTCTGGTGTTTAAATGGACTTTGGACTTTTGGACACTGGACTTTGATGCTCAACTCAGGAACTTTCGTACTCATGGATGGACTCAAACCGGACACTGATCTGAGTCTGTCAAGCTGAAGATGCAGCTGTCCCATATTTGCTCCACAGCTACCTCAAAGATGAACAGTCATGATATCAGCTGGGTTCTAATGTTTTTTTTATGTCTAAGTTCTGAAGTTTGTGTTATGCCATGACTTATGTTTTGGTTGATTTTCATATGTTAATCATTATAATTTGTTTTGCTTTTCATTTAAATAAAGGTTGCATGTTTTAGTTGTAGTGAGGTTTTTGTTTAAATTAGCATAAGGAATGCTCTGAGGACTTTGATTGGTATTAAGTCCTTTAATTAGCTAATGTTAATTGGTAATTCTAAAGGAGATTCTTTCACAAGATTGGCTCAGTGTGGAGGTTTCTCTGATCGCAGGATCTTTTTGCGCCTCTTTCTGCTTCATGAGGGAGGTTTTTGATTCTGTGCATCTTATCAGATTATGTCTAGTGTATAGCTGGCCTTTGGATTTCCCGTGGTGACACTTTGGTCACTGTCAGGAGGTTTGGGGGTGTGGCTAATGGATAGTCGAATCGGGAATTATTTACTTTAGGCGTAGCTTATCTAGCCTTAAAGTAATGTATTAAATTAGGATGCAAATAGGATTAAATAGGCTCCTATTTAATTTTAGGCTAAAACTTTAGTTTAAATCTTATTTACCTTATTATGCAAATGAAAATTTTCAGCTGGACAATGTGTGTTTTATGCGAGATGTATGTATGTTTGATTATTTGTCGATTCTAAAGAATCGAAGGGGGGAATATGTGGTGAATTTTCATGTACTGTGCCTTTAAGACGCGGGAGCGAGCGCCAGGCTCGCTCACGCGCCTCTTTGTTAGAGAGCCTCAGTAAACATCTCGCTGTTAGGACCTGTCTCAGATGTCTCGCTAAATAAACATGTCTAAAGCTGAAGATATCGCCTTTTCGTCATTCAAATGTTAGCCTAGAGTTTTATTGACATTTGACAAGTCTTCAGGAGGAAGTCCTCTGATTTTCCAGCGAACCAGCCAGGAGCCAGAGGCAGACGGTGAGCAGACAAAGAGAGACGGGAGGAGCAGCAGAGAGCCACCTACAGCAGATGAGCAGACGAGAAGGGTCCAGCAGCTGACAAGCCCAGAACTGAACCGAACCGGACCAAGACACAACAATGGCAATGCATTCCACATACAGGAAAAGCTATTGAACATATATAATTTTGCATTTTAGGTAAAAATGATTTTTATCAAAACCATAAATGTAATTTATGGAATTAAGACCAAAGTGTTGCAGTTTTATTTTAAATAGACCATAAGTGAGTGATTTACGTAGATGTGAAAAATAAGGATTTAAATGCATGATATGATACCTGTAATCAGAAAAATAAATGATCTCTTCATTGTATAGTTAATATTTTTAACATGCAGATGCTTGGCACAATGACATGTTACAAATAAAACTAAATCAAGAACAAACAATATAAAGTAAAATTCTCCTCTAAAGTCGTTTGGGATAAATTGATTGAGAAATTTCATTATCTGAGCCACAGCAGTGAGTTTAAAAACAGGATGATTCAACTAGAATCTGTCTCTAGTTATTTAACCAAGTGTTTTATGTAGGTAAAAGTATGTTTAGGAACCTGTAAAATACACCAGAATGCAGGAAACTGCATCAACTAATTTCAAAATTTTCTGGTGGAGGTTCCCAAGACTCCCCCTCCCCCACTAATGCCCCCTCACATTACAGTGCTTCTGATGCTCATTGCTTAACCTTACAGAGAATAAACCAACACACCTGTAGTGCACCACCTGTGTACTACAAAACTGAACTGTGTTCTATGAAACTAGTTGATTGTCAAACTGTACTCCTGGCGAGATTAAAGAGCTGCTACTGTACATAGTATAAATGCAGGTGAACATCATATACAGTAGGTGTGATTGAGTACACATTATTGCACCACAGCAGAAACATTTACTTTGTTGTTGATGAAGTGTGAAGAGGCAGGTTTTGATCGGTGAATACAGAAAACAAAAATATTACATGCTAGTGCTACATCTTTGCCTAATTTTTTATTTGTACAAAAATTGGACCAGTCTTGGCCATTAAACTCCTAGGCTGAAAAGTTTCCACACTCTGCCACTGATCCAGAGACTTTGATTGTTAGTCAGTCTTCTGTTTCTAAATAAGAGAAAATCAGACAAAACCTGGAAGCTAAACTTTCAGTTTGAAGAGAAGAAGTCTGGATGATGTTCTGTGGTCTGCATTTAGAAGCAGCTCTAAATCCTCCAGTCATCTGTCTGAAGCTCCTCCCTCCACCTTCTACAGGTGAGCTGTTAGATGTGAATCAGTCCTGACCTGAGAGTCTCCAGGTGACAGTGTGGACTCCTCAGGGCAGCAGAAAGCAGCTGGACTCCTGGATCCTGCAGGTCATTGTTGCTCAGGTCCAGTTCTTGGAGAGTGGAGGACTGAGAGATGAGAACTGAGGATATAACTCCACAGCTTGTCTCTGACAGAAAACAGGAAGTCAGTCTGAAGACAAGATGTTTGAAAAAACATTTGGGTTAGAGTTCATCATCCAGTCTCTATTTTTAACTATTTGATTAATTTTGTTATAAAATATAATTAATTTTCAGACAGTAAAGCCCCTCACACTGTGACAGCTGGATATGGGCACCAGTGACCCCATGACCATGAAAGGAAGAAGTGAGTATAGATAATGGATGGACAGTAAAGGTTATTTTGAATTTACATAAATTATCATTTTATCTGATGATTCTCAGATACTGTATGTATCATTAAGATGTACAGATTGTCTTAGTACAACCATGGTTTAAAAATGGTAAATTAAATTCTTGGGAATAATTGTTGTTGAAAAACTATCTTAGAAGTCACATACAGAGTATATTAGACAAAAAACATAAATTGGTTGCAATTATTTTTAAAACCAAAGAATTGTTAAATAGAAGTTGTCTGCATACACTTTATTTTTCACTTGTAGTGCCGGATATGTCCTTTTGTGTAGAGTTTTGGGGTAATGTTTATAAAACCAACATAGATTTAATAGTTAAACTTCAAAAAAAAGAGTTAGAGTTAGTACGGATGCTACTTTTTGCACAGCGAATCTGAAGTTGTTTAATCTCAGAGTCAAATAAATAATTATCTGACCTGCTTGTTTAGTTCAGTGTTTATATCTGAACCTGCCTCTGACTGGGATGCTCCAGTGAAACTTTTTATTTTTGAAGGAAACAATGAGCTGGAAATAAAGTATAGACCGAGTAACTTTAGGAACGATGTGCTCCGCAACCCAGGCTGGACGTCGTTATTTTTTTACTACTGTATCTACATGGAGACTTAGCGGGAGGCGGGGCAAGATGGCGGAGGAGTGAGACGTGTAACGCGTGGCTCCTGCTCCGACTTGTTCTGTTTGTAGTTCTATACTAAATGTCCTTGCTGTTTTGAACATTTGGTCCATCCGGACTTGACCCCTGAGTGATTCTTGCCTGGAAGAGTAGAAGAATAGCGACAAGCTCGAGGAAAGGCAAACATTCTAGCTCGATGGCTGTTAGGCTTGACGCCACCTCGGAGTTGACTGCAGCTAAAACCAGACTTTCGGCACCCTCCTCTCCCTCCCGCAGCGAGGTGGACACACTGTCCTTGAAGTCTGACATTCTTTCCGCTATAAAAACCGATCTCTCAGCTTTGATCAAATCTGAAATAAAAGCGGCTTTGGCTGAAGAGTTTACTCTTATTAAGGGGGAGCTACAAGCGGTGAGAGCGGAGGTGGCTAACGGCACGATGCTACTGCGCGCAGACCTGGACCACGTTAAACAGAGCTTAAGGAAGTGGAGGACGGCCTGTCAAACTGGTCCGAAGAGGTTGTTGCTCTGCGCACCACCATGTTGGAATTGAAAGAAGAAGTCTTTGGGCTCAAAAAGAAGTGTGAGGATATGGAGGGGCGCATGAGAAGGTGCAATGTGCGGATTATTGGAGTTCCTGAGACGCCAGAATCCGGCTCCACTTCAGCAGTGGCTAAACTGCTAGCAGAGGTCCTACAGATGGATAAAGTGCCACTGGTGGACTGAGCCCATCGCTCTCCAGGTGGAAACAGGTCAGGCGATAAGCCACGGGTTATTGTCGCTAAGCTGCACTATTATCAAGAATGTGTGGAAATACTGC